AAAGGGAAAAAAACAAGAAAAAAGAACTAGTAAAAAAAATAGAAAAAAAACCCCGAGGGGTTTGTGTATTAAAATGCTTATAATGTATGTGTTGCGTGACCCAAAATGTAAGTAGAAGTGCAAGATGTACCTGAAATCTTGATGTTTATGAGGGCAGGGCCCCCAAAAACACCCGCAATTTCCCACCCTCATGTAAAAAAAATTACAGGGACCCCCGCCTAACGACGCATTGCATAATGTTAAATTTTGGTTGCGATACTTTTAACGCAAAAATTTTTCCTCGGGGTAGTGCTAAAAAAATTTTCCCCTTTCGACACTCCGTCCGTTCGAGACGCGTCTACTTGGGAGCCTGAGGTGCCCCACTTGTCCCGTGGGTTTCCGTGTTTACAAGCCCGCCCAAAGCGGTCGCATCCAAAAAATTCAAACGGGAAAATTTTCATATTTTTAAGCCCTTTTTTTGTTTTTTTCCCCTTTCAAAGTAAGTCACCTGGGCCCCAAGAAAGCTTCTAGTGCCAATTTACAGCAAAAAGGGTGAGAAAATTTTTTTTGGATATGGGGAAAAAAAGATCATTGTAAGTTTGAAAATGGAGTGCGTGTCTCCCGGGAAATGGCCGGTTGTACCCCAAAACCCCCAAAAGCCATCGTACTAATTTTGGGCCCTGAAACCGCAATTTAAGGAAGCTGTTTTGGCCCAAAAGGGGAAATTTGTTTTCAAAAAAGAGATCACAAGTGACAGAAAAATGTTGAGAGATTTTATTTTGGGGTGGTAAAAGAAAAAAAAGATAGCAGGAGTTTGATCTCTTAAGCGAAACATTTTGTGAAAAGGCTAGGAAATTGGGATGGGATTTTAATTTTGAAAAATGCCTGCAATAGTGGTGATGTGAGTGAATTTAAGGCCAGCAAAGGTTTGGGTTTTAGAGATTTAAAAATCGTGTGGATACATTGGGTGATAAGGCATGGGGGGAGGGTTTCCCGTTGGACCAAAAAGCAGCTGAAAAATATTTGAAGGAAATTTTAAAGGGGTACAAAGGGAAATGAAGAATTGAAAAACCCGAAAAAAGTGTTTTTAAATTTTGACGAAACAGGCCCCGTTTTGGGAAAAAAATGCCCCTAAAATTCCATTCGTTTTGTGTTGCAACTGCCCAAATAAGTCACCCTGGCTCCAAAAAAACCCTTTTAGTGCCAGCCTTTTTGGGAAAAAAATGAGAAACATTTAAATTTAAAAAAAAATATTTGTAGAAAAAACGAAGGGGGGTGGTGGTAGAGTGGAAAAGTTGTGTAGGGGTTTTATTTGGGGTTTTAGGGGAGGGGGGGAAAGGGGTTGGGGTGGCCGGTTGGGGTTGGGCGGGGGGTTGGGAGGAAGGGGGGTTGCGGGGGGCCGGGTGGCGGGGGTTGGAAAGGTGGGAGGGGAGGTTAGGGGGGGGGGGGGGGGGGGCGGTTTTAAAGGGGAAGGGGGTTGCCAAGGGGGGGGGGTTGAATGTGGGGCCGGGGGTTTGGGGGTTATGGGGGGGGGCGGGTTTGGGGGGGAAAGGGGGGGGGGATGGGGTGCCGGTTTGGGGGGGTGGGTGGGGGGAGGGGTGATGTGGGGGTTGGGGGGTGGGGAGGGGGGGGGGGGGGGGGTAGGGGGTGATGGGGGGGGGGTTTGGGGTTGTTTTTCCCATCCCCCAAGGGGGGGGGTTTTGGGGGGGCACAAGCCAGCCGGGGGGCCCCCAGGTGGTGTTCCCCAAACCCTAATCGACGGCCTTATTCGGGGGGGGTTTTACGGGGGGCCCCCGTTTTTTCAATGGGCCGGTTTCCTTTTGGGTCCGGGTATTTGGGGGGAAATTGTGAGGAAAAAATTTGGTGCCCCTCATTTTTAAAAAAGGGGGAAGGGGTTCGTTGAAGTGTTACCCCGGGGGGATGAATTTTGCGTTTTAAAGTGTTTAAATTGGAGCCCGTTTTTAAATTAAGGGGTACAAATTGGAACTTTAAAATTTAAAGGGGGTGTTTGGGGCCTTGTTTTGGAAAATAAGGGGGACCGGAAAGGGAAATTTCTTTGTTGAAAGTTAAAAGGGGTGGAGGGGTGAATTAGTATGGGTTTAAAATGGTTTTGAGGGGGTTTGGGGGGTTCCCGGGCTACCCAAACCTACCCAAGTTGTTTTGGGTTTTGGGCCCACCAAAAAAAAGGAAATGGGTCACCCCCTAATGGAAAGGGAAAACCCCATGGTTAAAAATTTCCCCTAACAAGGGTTCGGAACCATTGGTTTATAGGTACAAAGACAAAAAATTTTTGGGCCCCTTTTTAAAAAACCGAAAGGGAACGGGAGGGGTACGAAGCTCCATGCGCCCGAGTTGTGTCAACAAGGTCCCTTGACTCCTTTTTACGGGTTTGTGGTTTTAAAAAAGAAGGGAAGGTTTTTCCAAGGGAAAAATGGATTTGATAAATTATGAATTTAAAGGGAAAGGGTTCCCCCCTAAACCAAAACCGTTTGGGGCCTTTCCCCTTTTTAAAATTTCACAATCTTCAAACCAGGGTTATTTAAAAGGTTTCCAAACCCATAACAAACTTTTTGGAAGACCAAAACAAAAGGGGGGGTGGCTCAGGC